CAGTCCTTTCCCGGTTCCAAAGGCAGCTGTGGGGTCCCTTGGTGGGGCTGGGAGGGACTCTCTGCTTGGGCTCCACACTGGCACCAGGGTCAGGCTTGCTGCTCTCTAGGCTGGCCCAGAGTGCAGGGCTGAGGCTCCTCTTTCTAGAGCAAGTACAGAGTTCCCAGCTGGCCATTCCACCAGCTTCCTGTGGATAAAACCAGAAGGGATTTGCAGGTGATTTTCAGGAGGAATGTGGGTGCCACAGGCTTGTCTGGGATGGGTGGCAGCTTATAGGGATAGGCTAGAATTTGGAGTGTCTCTGGCTGGACCAGTGCTTGAGGTCTAGACCTGGAAAGCATCACAGACAGAGCATAGAGTTAACCAAGAAGCCACCGGGCAGTAGAAGTGTTGGCACTGCACCTCAGTGCTGGGAGGCTGCTCTCTTGCCCTGTGGAAGAACTAGAAGAGATCGTCCAATGGACATATGATGGTGGGGTGGCCCTGGAGAGCTCTAAGGTCACCCATGGGGACTACTGCTATGGACACAGGTGGGAAGGTCTTGTTCTTGCAGTGGTGAGAGAAGCCTCCTCTCTCACCAGAAGCCCTGGGGACACAGGGGAGTCTTTTGGGGTCCTGATAATTGTCCCAAGATAGAGGTCAAGTACAACCTGTATGCTAACTTGCCAGATGTGCTGGGCTTCCTCTCAGAGGATCTAGGTTTGAGCCATTTGTAATCCTGCCAACAAGACAGATAGTTGATGGAGATGTGATGAATTTGGAAATGAGCTGAAGGGGATGGAAAGTGGTCCCTGGTGCTGGAGATGTAAGAGAAGTAACCTGAAGACTTTGGATCACTATCCATGTGATTCAGCCAATAAATTCATTTTATCTCAGTTGAAATATTTTAGGAAAAAGAATGCTTATATCCTAAATTATCAAGATAATAGCTTTAAAACTCTATCATTAAAAATGGTTGCACTTTATTTTCTTAGGTTTTCATTAATGTTCTAAAAAGTCGCATAAATGCAGTAAAGAAAATAAAAACAAAACCCTGAACATTCTTCAGGTGCCATCAAAGACCAGGATCTTCATAAGTCCTTGACTGAAATTCCTGAAGAGTGAAACTCATTCAATTAATGATAGAAATAGGAGATCAAGGGCAATGTGCAGCATATCCATCTGGGTGAAATAAACATTCTCAATACATTTGCAATGCTATCTAGAAGTCTGTACCCTCAAGGAAGAAAAAGTAGCATTTTAGCACACCAAAATCACCACAGAGAAGTTCTTCCAACTCAAAACCCACCTTGTTTTAAGACTTGTTCTGAAAAGTAAACTGGTGGCCTCCTCTATCCTTTGCAGTAAACACTCAGATTTTTTTTTTTTTGGTACCGGGGATTGAACTTGGGACCTTGCACTTGCGAGGCAGGCACCGGAACCACTGAGCTAAATGCCCAGCCCCAGATTTTTTTTTTTTTAACTTAAGACTTCCAAATTGTCATGGAAACGTCAAATTATGTTCCATGATAATTCAAGTTAAATGGCCAAATACAATTCTTTTCTTTCCCTCTCTGTAGTAAGTTCCTAAAATACTGAAGATATACATATACAAGGTAAGGTGGTTTAAAAAAAAATGACCTAACATTACACATATTAAAGAATTTATTATGTAACCAAAAGGGGAAAACACCCCGATCTTGGGTTGAAGGTACAGGTTCTATTTCTATTAAATTAGTGAGAAACACATGACACTAACATAACCTACACTAGTCTTGCTAAAGGCAGTGGCCTGTATTAAATCTTTTTCCTTTTCTGGGATGGCTGGGATAATTTATTTGCTTACCACATGGACACCAAATTTAGGGTTGGGAAAAGGAATAATTTAAAATTTTCCTTTCTAAGCATAAACTAGATAATAACTTAAATATTCCATGTATAATATAATCAGTCTTATGAAAAGAGTGGGGAACACACTTTTCCTGGTAGGTCACTTGCTGAGTTCCTAACTTTGCCATTTAAAGTACAGTGCCCTACTTCCCCACCTGGATCCTTTGTTTTTTCCTAGGAAAGGAAGAGGGAAGATGGGAATTAGTTTGCCAGTGTTTGGCAGTGTGTTACATTTCCTGCTGTCCTATCAGCAGGACTGTGCAGTTGACAATTATGGCCAAGGACAGGTTGAACCAGTGCAAGCCCCTCAGCCCTCTGACCCTAGGCTTCCTGATCTGCTCAGTGGAAGGCATCTGCTACCCACCTGCCTCAAGGTTGCAGCTGGGGCCAGGTGAGTTCCCAAGTGTTGTGAGTTCCTTGGCAGCAAAGTGTCACATAATGGGAGACCACCTACTTTTCGCTTATATGTAAGAACTGGGTTTATGGACTAAAGTTTTCCGTAAGTCAATATTGTCTAACCTTGGGATATTGTCTGATCATCACATTGCTGAGGTTTACCCATATTCCTGAAGTCGGGACAGAGGATGCCAGGGAAAGTCAAGGATGATGAGGGAATGGGGTTGGGACACAGGTATAGTGAACAGGACACAACTTGGGGTTTGATGCAGGCAATTGTGTCCTTAGTGAGAAATAAAATGTCCTTGAGAGATAGATAGATAGATAGATAGATAGATAGACAGACAGACAGATAGATGGGGGGGGGAGCCCCCTAAAGCAATCTGGCAGAGACAAAAAAAAGCTAGAAACCTTTGGGAATGGGAGAAAAGTGGTCTTAAGAGCCAGTGAGAGGCTCAGGTTTGCCCTGGGCACAAGAATGGCAATGCCCAGGGAATCAAAAGCAGAGAATGGGGCCCATTTTATTCCCATTCCCTGAGCACTGCAATACCCTTTCTGATGCTACTTCCCAGAATCATACAGGTAAGTCACGAGGGCATATATGGTGAGTAGGTAAAGATTATCAAGAGCTGGGTGCTGTAGTACAATCCTGTAATCCCAGCTACTTGGGTCACTGAGGCAGGAGCATCATAAATTCAAGGCCAGCCAGTCTCAAAAAAAAAAAAGAAAGAAAGAAAGAGAGAGAGCGAATGAGAGATCCTGTCTCAAGGAGGGGGGCAGGGATGTAGCTCAGTGGTACAGTGCCCGAGTTTGATCCTCAGAACAAAATAAAATAAAAAATAAAGAAAAAAAGAGGATGTCAGTATGTGACTCCAGAGATCTGAAAATCCCTTCAGTTTACTGGTGGAATTCATGGTGGGACAGCCACCAAGAAAAAGTTTCTATTCACAGCTGCTTCTCAAATACTCTCAAGTGTTGTAGCAGATCCAACAATCTAAGTAAAGGGAATTCGGGGTATTATTTGGCATATAGTAGGTATTCAGTAAATACTAGCTGAATTTTACTCATCTGTTGGAAGTAATTTGACTTTGTATTTATACGTTAGAAAGTTCTTTGAGTGGCTCCTCAAATACCTAAATAGGTAACTTACTCATAAAATACTAACATACTATTTTGATAAGAAATGCCCAAATAACTGAGCAACATTGACATGTTGAATGATGTTTCCAGTGGAGAGTCCAAACTCAGTCGGAAACCTCATCTATAGATCACTGTAACTAAACATTATCATTCCTCTGGCTATTGCAGGTCAAGGTACTTTATTTGGATCCATGAACTGCATGTGTAACACCGAGAGGGTTGATTTTCATGTGCATTGCTCTGGAGAAAAGAGCCATAACCTCATCAAATTATCAAAGTCTTTGTGAGCCAACAGGGGACACTCAAGAATCACTGCTGTTGATGAATGAGATTCAGTAGTCACTCAGATTGGTTCATTCACTTCTGCACTCTTTCAGACTCGGCAGGAATATAATTCTCCCACTTAAATTATTCTATTTTTCACTAACAACTCTTTGGAGCATGTTATTTTTATTAAAGTTTGGAATTGTATAAAAATAGATACATAGCAAGATTTAAAATATACACATGTATAATGTATAAATGTGTATTTTTTTCTTAATCACATTCTCCTCTGCCGCTTCTTCCGGGTAGATTTCTTTGCCTGGTACTTGGGATCTATTCCAGGTGGCTGTAACTGTAGGGTCCCACAGCAGGAAAAGCAACCAGGAGAAAAAAAGTCTCAGACTAAAGAGAAACCACAAGTTATAAGTTCTGGGGCTTACTGCAAAGATTAGAGTCTATCTTTCTTGACCCTACGTCCCTGGGTACCTTTTTCAAGCAGAAAGATCGACATTCCTGAAGACCTTCAGTGCAGCAAAGACCTTTATTCCTTAACCTGGGAAAAGTTCCTAGGGTTCCAGCCAGTCTTGGGCAGGAGAGTGCCCTCAGCAGTGAGCAGTGCTCTCAAAGGGACTGAGGCTAACAGAGGATGGATCTCTGCAAGTTGATGAGTAGCCTGGAGGCCAAGTCCCTATCCCCCTTCTCAGAGTCTGCAAGATCTCCATGTCCTGCAGTTCTCGTGAATACTTGACTCACCAGGAAAAGCCAGTAGGGGATGAGACTCCAGGAGATCTGTAGTTGGCTTTAGATTTGGAGGTGTTGTAAACCCCTAAGGTGTGTACAAAATGGCATGTGTATTTTCTGGGAAGAGACTATCGCTTTAATTAGGTTCTGAATTGGGTTTTGGCTTCCATGAGGAAGAGACTGCTGGGTGATCTTTTCAGAAAACCTACTTTGCTTTCTCGATCATTTCCTTTTAAGATGCCTCAAGAAAAACCATTTCAACAAAGGTCCAATGGAGTAGGGAAAGTGTTACAAACACAATGTGCCCGGCAACCTAATTTTTAAAATTCCATGTAAAAATAAATATCTCTCAAAAAAAATGTCTCTCAAAGTTAAATGTAACAAATATGTCCATTAACACACACACACACACACACACACTAGGTACACAGAGTTTAGTCACCCTGTTTTTGAAGTCATGAACTGCAGGAAAGAGAAATCTTCCTATTTCAGCCACAAACTGCAGAATACACGAGGTATATGAGGAGGACTACCCTAATCTCTGAACAGGTGCTGATCTTTTTTCAATGAGGAAATACCAGGCCCCAAAGTTGGATTTTAGAATATTTTAATGTCCATTTTTTCAGTGGATGCATTTTGAAATTCTCAGAATTAACAATTTTAAAAGAGCAGAACAAAAGAAATGTGGAAAATGCAAACAGTTGGTTCTCCTTAATTTAATTTCAGATTCTAGGCATGATATGATTTTCTGAAACAATCGATCAAAAAAATGCTTACCTCAAAAATCTAGAAATTAAAATGCAGATGTATCTTTGGAAACTACAAGTGATCACAGCCCAGGTAATGAGCTGCACGCTGCCTGTAATGCTCCACGTCATGTGCAAATGTGCAGGTGCAGTCCCAACCAGTGAAGTCAGTATCAAAGGAACCATGCACAGGTGTGGCACAATCTGTGGGACTCTTCAAGTGATTTAAGGATGTCATAACTGATGCTCTACATTTATTTGCACTGATAAAATTATGTGCTTGTTGATCATACAGATATATAAAATTTGATCTTAGCTGGGGCTGAGAAAATAGCAATTGCAATTCAAAGCAACTATTTACACACATTCAATTCTGAAGTATTGCTTCCTGCCCTAGGTTCCTAAGGAGTATTGCCACCTGCAGCACTTGAGCCCACTGCCTAGAAGCATGTCTGTGTCCAGTAACAATCACTTGTTCAATGCTGACAGACTGAGATGCATGCCAGGTGTGCCACGGAGATTCTGTGGATCTGCATTGAGGTATGCTTTGGAGCCGGGAGCTGGGAAAGTTCCAGGGGTCTCAAGGCCCCAAGAGAACGTCTGTACTGGTTCTTTAGAAAGGCTCAGGGTGTTTTAAAAGACCATTTATCCTCCACATGATGAGCTGCCCTTTGTCGAAGCTCCATTTGTACAATGCTGAACCACACCACCTGAGGTTAATGTTTCTCTCCAGTCAGTTTGCAGCTCTGGGGTTCCATGTCAGGGGAGGGATCACGAACACCTTTGTGGTAGGGGAAGGAAAACAGCACGACAGGGAAAAAGTGCGTGCAGAGATGTACTTGGTAGAGCATATTTTGAGCAAGACAGCAAAGACATCAGCCACCTACCAGCCCCTAAAAACTATGCAGCCTGGAGATGGAAGGCTGAGGAGAGGACAACACTCATATACCTTAATACTGACAGGAGAAAATCAAATATGCCCACAATCCTTAGCATAAGGAAAACATCAGGTAGTGTTTTATAAGAAAAAAAAAATCTGTGGTGTTTTATAAGAATACATTCTTCAGAAGCAAGAGGTAATGTCACAACCATATTTTCTTCAGATTTGGAAGACCAACAAACTGACAGTCAAACTTGAAGGAAAAGCTCACAGTCACTGAGAAAGCTCTCGATTCTGAGACCATGTGTGCTGCTGGATGGCTATTCCAGATGTCCCCCCTGGGGACGTGGCTGACCAGAATCAAAATGTCATCATGCCAGAAATGGCAGATTCTGTCATCTTTGGGGAAGAGTAATGAGGGGACTTAACACAGATGTGAAAATTATACAACAAGGTTTACCAGTGAAAGAACACACTTGGTACACCGTATGAAGACCTACAACAGATGGAGAACTAGTTCTCAGTTGCACCATAGGCTGCACATGAGCATCACCTGGAAAATAACTAAGAGAAGGCAACTGTAGCCTGTGTGCCATTGGATATAAACTTCAGAGTCAATGTGGCAAAACACCAAAAAAGCAGGAGTGGTAACCAAGAGCACAGACTGACTTTCTTCAGTTTCCTCTGCCATATGAATACAGATGATTCTGTGCCCCACCCCCGCCCCAGTGCAGCTAAGAAGCCCCTCTCAAGTAGCTGGACTTGGCTCACGAGATTAAATCCCACCACAAACTGGCCTGTGCAATTGGAGGGTGGGAGAGAATGGAGAAACTTTTTGAATTTACAGAGGTCAAGACACTGTCTACAGGTCTGCTGGTTTTGATCTGGAACTCAAAAAGGGGGAGCACCCTGGGCAGCAGTGTGGCCCCTAGTGGCTGAAACACGAAGGGACATCTTGTCATAGATCTGTGCCCTTTGTGAACTGGCCCACCCCCCTCACTCCAGCTTATTTCCCTTCACCAAAATGACCCAGCACCCCCCTCCCCAAAACAGATACATCTTGATAAATAAATAAATAAATAAATGCAACCCTCAGACATTTATTTTGAGCTTTTCCCTCAGATGAGTCAGCTTCTAAGACACCTTCACTCCCTTGGAGGAGGGTCAGGATGAAAAACGGCTTTGAGATACCTGAGGCCTGGGCTTACAAGCTCTGTGCCTGTGAACATTTGAAATCTTGGCCTGCACACAGATGAACCCCAGAAACCCCATGGTGCTGGGTGTATGGTCCACCCACATCCCCTACAAGAGAGGGCCCAGGTGCTCTGGGGAGCATGGGGAAGAGGGGCTGGATGGGCTCCCTCAGGATTCACCCTCTCACCCCCATCCTCGATGAGTTACTGGCACTTTATATCAGATTCATAAATGCAATGTGTGTGCGTGTATGTGCTTACTTAGAAAGACCAGGTGACTGGGAAACACTATTACATATACAGAAAAAATAAAACAAAAACACTGTATGACCTCCCCCCAAGTGTCTTGTGAGAAAAGGCAATACAATTGATTTCTTAACCACAGCTTTTGTTTTGAAAGTCAAATAATACCCAGAGCCATGATTCCACCTGTGGCCTCAGTCCTGGACGTGAGGCCAAGGCCAACCCTGAAGGCACTTGTTCTCTCCATGCAGCTGAACGGAGTGCCCCAAGGGGGCTGGTTTTCAGGAGGGGGAGCAAAGAAAAGAAGAAATGGATGAAAATGAACCCTGAATAACTGTGATCCACACAGAATTTAGGGTTGAAATGACCACATAATACCATGTCCAGGGACAGAAACTGTGGCACTTAAATGCACAACAGCCAAATACAAATATTATTGTGTTTCAACGAACAGAGCACCTCAGGCAGCTTTCAGTGCTGCCTTACACACTCTTTGAGACGTTGAGCTTGGTGAATTCATTGGTTTCTTCCATTCCCATGTCTTCACAGTCATCTTTCTCTATGGCTTTGCCAAATCGACACCTTTCTTCCACTCTGATGGGCTCTTTCCAGGGTCTCTTAGAAGACAGGTGTGTGTTCTTGGCTTGCGTGTTGTCATCAGAGCCCAAGGATGTCTTGTCTAAATACTGGACAGAAGGCACCAGGTTGGCAATCTCATCTGTGGGAGACCGTCCGATGCTGCCATCCACCTGGACACGGATGTCTGGGGAGATGGAGAGCTGGTGCTGTGGCACCACCCCATTGTCCATGCACTTTGGGTAAAGGTAGGTTTTCATCTGCCCTTTACCCTTGACATTCACTGTTCCCCGGTAGTCAAAATCATAGCCCATTTTGCTCAGCACACGGTAGCTCTCCTCACTCACCTGGATGCGACACTCAACCCCAGTGGTGTCCATCCTGCTGGCAATGTTGACCGTGTCCCCCCAGATATCATAGAGCAGCTTGGTGGTACCAATGACACCTGCTGTGAGCGGCCCATGGTTAAAGCCAACCCTGAGCTTGAAGTTGAACCACAGCATGTTGTTGTTGAAGTCATCCACCACACGCATCATCTCCTTGGCAAACTCAAACAGGATCCGAAGGTGCTCCTGTGGGTGACTGCCCTCTTGGCATTGGGCTGTATTTAGCCCTGATGCTGCCATGTATGTGGCCCCGATGGTCTTAATCTTCTCAATGTTATTGTAGTCTGGCTTGCTCAGGAGCTCATCGAAGTCACCAATCAGCTCATTGAGGACTCGGTAGCACTCCTTGCCCCCTTCGTAGTTCTCCTCGTAGAACTCACTGAAGTTGACGATGCTGGCAAAGATCACTCCTCCACTGTCGTGGTTCTTGGAGTAAGTCTGGGAGACCTTCAGCTGCTCGGCCACGTGGTAGGGGATGATATTCCTCAGCAGCCAGTCAGCCTGGTCCCTCATGCTCTGGATCTTGGTGCGGTGAAGGTCTGCTTCCACATCCCCATGGTAGTGCAGGCGATAGCTGACTTCAAACTCTCGGTTCAGGAACCAGACCAGCAGGAGCAGGAGAAAGAAGGCAAGGATGAGCTCCTTACCCATAAGGCTGGTTGGCCTCCTGCTGTCCTGTGTCAGGGAGCTGTTGCATGGGTTCCTCTCGGCACTGGGGAGTACAGAGGTGAGAAAGCACATATCCACTAAGTGAATCTGTTAAGGAGGAGTCCAAAACTGCCTGGCTAACCAGCACCCTCTACCAAGTGGGGATGGATTCAACCCTCAACATCCTGAAGTTTTAAAACAGCACATTGCTGTATATTTGGCAGGCTGCAGAGATGGAACAAAAAAGACCAACTCCTGCAATTGAGTCTTTAATCAGTGCTTTGTAATGGTGTTTTCCACCCCAGAAGTCTTTAGCTTCTTTTAAAAATCTTTTCTCTCTCTTTTTTTCGTCAACTTTTTCTTTTGAAATTATCTCAGCCATACGGAAAAGTTAAAAGGCTAGTAATAAACACTCATATCCTTCACCTGGGTTCAACAATTGTTAATATTTTGCCACCTTGGTTTTTACTCTCAACATATACACATTTACTTTTTTGGGGGGAGCAGGGATCGAACTCAGGACCTTGTGCTTGCAAGGCAGGTGGCAGAACCACTGAGCTAAATCCCCAGCCCTACACACATACTTTTTGTTAAACATTTTGAAAGTTGTTGACACTTCAGTCTTACCTATTTTAGTATATCTCCAAAGATAAACACATTTCTCTATGTAACCACAATATCATTATCATATCCAAGAAACTTAATATTTTGATATATTTGCTTCTTAGATTTCTAATCCAATAGGCTTGTAATTTTACAAAGAATTTTTATAAGTTCTTTACTCTCTCCTTGTATAAATATCTGACAAAATACATTTTCCCCATTCTGGGTTAGTTCTGTTTTGCCAAAGTCATTTAAGACAAACTTAGCACTTAAAATATATACATAAAACATATACTTTCCCCCTTTTGTCTCTCTTAGGCAGAAGCTTTCTTTCTCCCAATAAATTTTTCCTACTCTAAAAAGCAAACAAACAACAAACAACAACAAAGAACCCATATACTTTTAATAGTAACATAAACACATTGTAAGAAAGTCAAAAAGGAAAAATTATGGAAAGTGTTTTTCTTCCAAGGTAATCAATATTGTCATTTCTTGTGGTTGCATGGTGTGCTAATATGATGTACCAGATGCCTACTTAGGGACAGAGGGCTGTGTCCTCATCCTTTTTTTTTCAGTACCGAGGATCAAACCCAGGACCTTACACATGCTAGGCAAGGGCTCTACTACTGAGCTATAACTTCAGCCTATGTGTCCTTATCTTTTACTTTTGGTACCGGGGATTGAGCTCAGGACCTTGTGCTTGCGAGGTGGGTGGCAGAAACACTGAGCTAAATCCCCGGCTCCTTTGTCCTTATCTTTTATGACCTGAAAAATGTTGTAATGAATATTCCTGTACCCTCGTCTTTGTTCATATGGAACCAACGAGTCATTTTAAATACTGCACATTTAGAATTTCACTAGTAATTCCCAAATTGTCCTCCTGAGAGGCTGGCCCAATTCCTGTTCCCTCCAATCAAAGACTCAACGTACTTTTGGTAGGACTGCCCTCCAGCTGGTTAGTGCTAGTGAGAAATCCTGGGGTTGGGGCCTGAAGATTAGTGGCAAGGACCATAATTTCTTTCAAAATTTGTTTAACATAATTTTTCTCTTTAAAAATAATACATACTCACCATGGAAAAATTAGGGGAAAAGTAGAAATTACAAAATGATTCACGCATTGTCCTACAACCTAGTGACAATCACTGTTAACATTTGCCGAATTTCTTCCTTCCCTCCCTTCCTTCCTTACCTCCTTTTTTCCATCCCTTTCTTTTTTTTAACATACTTTGATGGTTCTGCTCATATAAGTTTTATCTTTTGATTTTGGGGGGGGGGGTACCAGGGATTGAATTCGGGTCCTTGCGCAGCAGGTGATGAAACCACTGAGCTAAATCTCTGGCCCTTTTGATGTATTTTTAAATGCTTTGAGTGGGCTACTAGACTTTGTTAACAATGGGCTTGTTCACTATATAAATATAATTATATATAATGCTACATAAATATAATTACACAGAGAACCTATGGATCCTCCATTTAGAGCTCAGTTCTTTAGTCAGAGTGTTTAGTAAGTTCTACTGTTACTTGTGACTTAAGGATGGATATTTAAAAATAATGAACTTGGCTAAGTGGTCATCAAGACCCTCCATGAACAGTGTCACGAAAGTCCTGGCCTTGGACTAGAATTCCTGGGCTGTCCTGGGAGGGTCACTGGAGAATTCTGGAACCTTGAAAAAGCTATGCCATCTTGCTGGGTCTCAAGTCTCTTAAGTATAAACTGTGATGCTGGGCTGGAGTATGAGCAAATCCCTTCTGGCCTAAGGTCCTGTACAGATAAGTAAGCTCAGCAGACCTGTGGCTGTCATCCTCAGAAAGGCTGGCTGGAGCCTGGATTTGGGAGTATTCCCATCATTCCTTGGTAAGAGTGGCTCATGGTGTCTCAACTCCTTGTATAGACAATGCATTTTATGTGAACACTTGCTTCCCTTCTTATGTCCTATGTGATGCTACTGGGAGAGGACTCTTGGAAGTAGTTCTTCCCTCTGCTGATTTTACTCTGTGTCCCTTTGGGTAATGTAGTCATGAGCATGACAATGTTCTGGGTCCTGTGAGTCCACCCAGTGTTGGTCTTGGGGACCTTGACATAGGGTCTATGACTCAACGTCTACAAACCAGGAACCAATAAGGTCCTCTACAGTAAGATACCTCACACTTGTCTATTTTGCTCACTGAAACAAATAACAATATATACTATAAATCTCATTTACTAAGCAAGGTATCTATTTATTTTAGATGAATAAAATATATTTCTGTCCAGCTTCTAAGGCCTTCTGGCTGGCTTTCAAACAGAGTAGGCAGAGGATCTAGACCACAAGGAAACAAGCCTCCCCCTTATGGGTGCATCTCACTGGGTCAGGAGTTGAATTTCCTTTGAATTTCTCCAAAGTAGTGTCATCAAGAATAGCCCATGTTAGTAAATGTCACTAAGGCATCATCTGAATGGTCTAAGAAGGTTTTTTAAATCCCTGTGAAAGAGGTGGGTGATGGTACATAGGTTCCCTCAATCTGTCAACTGCTCTTATAACTTTCTATAGCACTATAACCAAAGCCAATAAGATGGCTGACTCTGGAGACAGACAAGCCAGTCCCCTCTGGGCACAGGACTGAGATAGCAAAACACCTGTAGTATAGGAGTGAAAGGCAAATAGATGGTTACAGACATTGCTCAATTTACGATGTGGTTATGTCCTGATAAAGTCATCATAAATAACATAAGTCAAAAATGCACTGAAGGGCCAGGGATTTAGCTCAGTGGTGCTGTGCCTGCCTCACGATCACAAGGTCCTGAGTTCAATCCCCAGTACTGGGGGAAAAAAATTCATTTAATACCCCTAACCTACTAACACCATGGCTTTAAGGTACCTACTGTACCTTAAAGGTAGATGGAACATTTACATCAGCCTACAGTTAGGAAAAATCATTAAAATCATTTAACACAAAAGCCTATTTTATAATAGTGTTGAATACTGCACATTTAGAATTTCATACAACTTATTACTGTACTGAAAATGAAAATAATAGTTGCATGGGTACACTTTCACACCACTGTAAAGTACAGTGAGTGGTACCTTGGTTCATGAACTCTTTTGTTTGTGAACAATTTGGTTCGCAAACAGAAGCATTTGGCAAAATTTTGTTTTTGTTTGTAAACTTTGTATTGGGTAATAAACACAACCATGGTCAACTTTCCCACATGAACACGAACATGGTCACCTTTTTCAAAATCAAAGAACAAATTAGGTTTGTGAACCAAAGTACCACTGTATAAAGACTGTTCCATGGTAAAATGGGAACCATCTGCATGCTATTTGCCTTTTGCCTCTGCCTGAAAGAAAAAGTACTCTAGTACAAAGCATTTATGTTTTGCACCCAAGGGGGCGACTATGCCTTTCTTATCCTAAAATGGAACAAAAATGGTCATCACATTCCTAAATTCAAACAGCAAAGGTCAATTTCAAAAAGACAAACTTTAGGTGAATAAATAGAAGAGTCAACTTATGACTGAATACTTGGACATGTAATCATACGTAGACATTAAAGTACAGTATAATCAGCCAGCACGGTGCTGCATGCCTGTAACCCCAGTGCTCTGGGTGGCTGAGGCAGGAGGATCACAAGTTTGAGCCCAACCTGGGCAACTGAGTGAGTTAGTGAGACCCTATCTCAAAAACAAACAAAAAAAGAGCTGAGGGTGTGCCTCAGTTAGAAAGCCTCGGGTTCAATCTCCAGTACCATCAACACATACACACAAAAGTATATTATAATCAGTTATGATGGAGAAAAGGGATTTTAAAATAGATAAAAACAGAAAACAAAGAACACTTGTGATTTAATCAATTAACAGTGGCATTTGTTAACATTTTAGGGTGTTTCAGTGCCATATAACACCTACATCACTGGATGTGGTAGGGTTAGGGTGTCACCAGGAGAGCCCTGTACCAGGAGGGGTACTGAGAATGTTTTGCTATTTGGATTGGGTGATGGTTAAATGTGCGTGTTCCCTTGTGGAATGCATGCTGATACACTCTGAGGAACTGAGAACTCTTCTGTACATGTGTCATATGCTAATTTAAAAGTTAATTTCCAAATGAAACTAAGTGATTTGCTTTCAAATACTGTAGTTGTAGCCAGGCAAAGTGGGCCACATCCATAATTCTTGATACTTGGGAGGCTGAGGCAAGAGTAGAAAAAGTTCAAGGATAGCTTGAGTAATTTAATGCGTTCCTGACTCAAAAGTAAGAATAAAAAGTGCTGAGGCAGAAAAATTTCCTAGTATGTGTGAGGCCCTGGCTTCAAACCTCAGTAATCCAAACAACAACAGCAACAACAAAGCTGCAATTGTAATTATCACTTATTATTTTATCATTAAGTACTACGTCTCTTATAATTTTTAAATGTATACAATGAAATATTTAGTGGTAGCTATAGTACATATACAATAATTTCACATAATAAATGAAAATTGTAAACATTTCCCATAATATTTGAGCATGTATATCATGATTTAATTTTTTATTATTAAAAACTGTTCTTGCTGATGAATTTTCAATATTATCAATCATTGTGATCAATATATTTGGGCATGCAGACTTTACCCAATGCTGAATTCTTTTCTTACCAGATAAGCAAAAATGGAATTATGTTAAATACTATGAACATTTTTATGACTTTTTAATAGAGTGTCAAATTCCTTTCCCAAATGAGTGTGACATTCTGAAAAGTAATGAGGCATGAAAGGCCATGGCCTAGAGTGAGGGAGCCAACATCTACATATAGTGCTTATGACTAGCTGTGTGACTGTGGTCAGGTTCCTTTACTTCTCTGAGGTTTAGCGTCCTCATTTGAAAAACGAGGAAGAAATCACCAACCATGTCAGGTTATTGTGAGGATTAAATAAACATATTTTAAGTGCCTGGTAGTTAAAAAAAATTAATCACTACCAGTAACTAATGAATGTTACACAGCTTTGCCTACTCTGGATATTCAGTGCTTTGAAGGTCCAATTTAAAAGATGACAGGAGTTGTGTAGATATTTAAATGTACAGTGACTTCAGTAATAACAATACTGATGTGTCTACATTCATCTTCTACTCACATTTCTTCTTTTGTGAACTTTTAGGTTGTTCTTTTTGTTTTGTCCTTCATCCACGTAGGTCTTAATTAGCTCTTTATGTAATGGTCCCACAGGTATTTTTCTAACTGCTTTGATTTTCTTTCTCTTCCTTTCTAATTTGTCACTTAGCCTTTTCTTTTTGGTTGTAGTTATTATTAATAAGACTGGAAAGTTACTTCTGTTTTAGAGGCTTGAAAACTATTTTTATTTTTTTCCAGATCTTATAGTTTACTTTTCATTTTGACTTTTAAATTTATTTAGCATTTATTCTGGTGTTTGCAATAAAGCAAATGTTTACATTATTTCAGGGAATAACTTTTTCTTTGATTTTTTTGGGGGTAAGATTTCTTTCTTTGTGTGCAGTACCAGGGATCAAACTCAGGACCTTGTGCTTGCAAGGCAGGCACGGTGCCACTGAGCTAAATCCCCAGCCCTTGAGATTTCTTCTGTAACACACAAAAGTCTTATATAAAATTAAGCCAATTCTAATATATATCTTAATAATCATTTGGCTAGCACTTCGGAGGCTAAGACAGGAGGATTGCTTGAGCCCAGAAGTTCGAGGCTAGTATGGGCAACATAATGAGGCCATGTTTTTTAAAAAAATCATTTTATTTTTTTCATTAAGTTAATATAAATATGATCTGATATTTTAACAAGAAGATATTTCCCATTTTCTCTTTCAAGAATGCATATATCGGTCATTTTATTTGCCATACAATTTCTGGAAGCCTTGAAATAGGAACAAGACAGTTGCTCTCATTTGTTAAGAAACCAGCACATTAAAAGTTTACCTGAAGTTCTGTGCCACATCCAGGGGTGAAATTGCTATGGAACTGAAATTAAAATGTGGAAAAATATTATTTTAAAAAGCAAAGAGGGCATTATAGAAAGCAACCTGAGAAGAGTTTAAACAAACTACTCTTCTTTTTAGGACACTGTCCAAATGAAAATCATAACCCACATGTCCACCTCTTCCCTCGTGTTTGTGTGCTTCCAGTGCTAGAGAGAGCTTTGTTCTCTGAAGATCCCTCCTCTTTTGTAGAAGCTGAGTTTAGGTTTTTTGTTCACCACCTCACATGCTCCCTATCCCCACTAGGCTCCTCGATGATGATGATGATGATGGTGATGATGATGATGATGATGATGACAGGGTGGGTGAGCTCAGAAGATGGAGGGATCCTGGGGCAGGGGGAGCTTCACCACCAGCCCCACCCCAAGATCTGCTATTTCAACTCTGGACAAGTGGGCTGGGGCAGGAAGTCCCCGCTACTCTGTCCCTCCTGATCCATGAGGAAAAGCCCCACAGCTGTAGCTGAAGGTCACTGTGAGAGTCAGTGGTATATACTGGGTCTGAGGTTAAAGGGTGGTGGCTTGAATTTCAAACTCTTGGTGCAGACCTTTACCATGACCATAATTCCAGATGGCCACATTCTCACAAATGTAAAAGTATGGCTTACTTTCCATAAAATAATTTATTCATTATGGTTTCCTTTCAAATGCTGAATGGCAGTTCTACACTTTAAATTCCTTTTGTGACCTTAATTTGTATATCTTTCATATTGTTGTTATTATACTAAGTAAACTGAGGAAGGATACTTACTGTCCATTACTGACCACTGCTTTGTTAATACCCAAAGATACACTGAGGCTATTAATTTGATTGTCAATAGTGGAACAAATTAGATCATTTTGTGTTCTTGAAGTTACTAAAGCAGTGGTTCTCAGTGACAGTAATGCCACTTCTAGTTAGTCACTTGGGAAACATGGGAGTCTTTCTGGTTGTTCTAATAATTCCGAGAAACAAAATGTTAGATGTTCTGTAAAGCACAAAGAAGTGTCCCATGTAACTTTAAAATAATCTGTTCCCCTAAATCCTCTATAACTGTGAATAGGTGGTTAAAATATATGCTAATAGTTAAACTTTTTTTTTAGTTAAACTTTTTTTTATAAGTTAAAGAAAAAGACATATTCAGGAGAGGCTTGTTACAGAAACAGAAGCTTAATGAGTTTAAGAGATCATAAAACTTTTTTTTGATCATAAAATTTTTAAATAAAATACTCACTGTATACATTCTGCTATCCAAGGTATTACTGTATTCTCAACAACATATTTAGTTGACAAAGCTTAAAAGCCACAAAACTAGTTACAGATGTGCAAAAGGCAATTTGGGACTCATTTTAACAAAGAACCAAACATTATTCAATTAGGAGAACCCAAGGGAAGAAAGGGTATAGGGTATTTTAAATGCTCTTCTCACTGCCATCTGATATATTTTTATTTTTTAAGTTTCTGTAGCACAATGAAAACTGCTCTTGTCCCCAAAGGACCACCATGGGACTTCTATTTCTTTTTTGGGGGGACTCCCGTTTCTTTATCTACACTATCCTCTCTATTCCTCAGCACCTGTCAAGAACAGAGCTGTGAAGGCAATTCTGGATACCAGGGACTGAACTCACTTCTCAGTATGTAGAAGGATTTCAAGATCAAAGACAGATATCCAGTTACTGGTCAGTCTTTCTGAGTCTCATGTCATAACACAGGGACTGATATGATATCCACTACTATAATACTATAAATAAGACCCAAGCCATTTGTAAAATCATATGTCTTCATTTCTTTCACTTTGACAATCTGTAACCTGTCCTAGAATGTGTGCCTACTTCCTCCTCATCTCTGTGCCTACCTAGACCTCTGCTCTTTCAGTGGCCTAGTCATCTTATGTGTGCTGGTTTCAGGTCTTACTTTCTTAAATTCAACTTATTTATTACAAGTGAGTTCAGGTGTGTCCCAATTGTATTATGCCTTTCAGAGAGAGTCACCCAAAGAAGTCTATATTCAAATGTACATTGAGTATCCCTTACCCGAAATGTTTGGAACCAGAATAATTCTGGATTTCAGAACACACAATGAGATATCTTAGGGAAGAGAACCAAGTCTAAACACAAAATTCATTTATATTCCATATACACACTATACAGATAACCTAAAGGTATTTTTATACATTATTTTAAATTATTTTGTTCATGAAATAAAGTTTGTATACAATGAACAATAAGATTTATGACATCATGTCAGTGCTCAAAAACTTGGATTTCTAACACTTTGGATTTTGAATATATGTTATAATATGTTATTATAACTGATTTTTCTTTTTTCTTTTGCATATTGTTCCTGGGACACAGTTTTATTTTTTAGACATTATATGCATTGGAAGTCATTTTAGGTCATGATAGAAACACTTGTCATCGAAGACAGAATCAGTGCTAATGTGAAAGTGCAGTAGACCCCTAAGTGACACCAGGCAAGGTGGTAGTGAGTGGAGGATGCTAGTTGCATACCTGTCTGGACACAGGGAGATGTAGAGCAGAAGCAGTGGCCCGGCCCCCACGATGGTAGCAAGGGAGGACCTCATCCAGGAGCTGAGCTGGCAGAAGTTACAGTAGTGCACGACAGCCACTAACACGGCTGAGCTGGTGAACACGGTGAACTGCAAAAGAAGCCAGTGTCAGGACAGCATGTTTCCACTCCTCCCACATATCGCCCCATGTCCCATCCAGGCCACCCCATACCAGAGGTCCTGCTCTCTCTCACACATATCTGTTTAACATAAAGCACTGCTGACACCATCCACTGGGCTATCTACATGCAACAGTTCTTACTTTTGGTGAGCCAGTGGCTTCAGGGCAGATCACACACCTTTACGTTCAAGACCTAGTGCTTTATATTATAAGATCACACTGGCACAAAGACTCTCCTCTGGGTGTGTGAAAATAGCACACATTATTTTGGTGGAAAGGAAGGGGAGGCTGTCCATGGGGGAATTACTGCAATGGGATAAGTTACCTTCCAAACGCTTTTCTGTTAGACCCTGCTGCAAGCCTGCTGAGATGTATTTTGATGTTAAAGTACCAAATTCAATCAGCCAATCCTGATGGTTCATGTTACACACCAAAAATACAATCTTCCACCACAGTACTAGTTCACCCTTTGTGGAATTTAACTAAAAAGCTCCTTCCCTGAGCAGCTGGAGCTGACCCATGTGCAAGGCAAGGACTTGTGCCAGTTCTAAAGACCAGCATGTTATCTTACATCAGTTGAGAACCTGGAGCAGATGATTTTTGCAAACCATGAAGAAAAATATAAATACTTCTCAACTTAGAATAGGGTTACATTTCAATAAGCCCATCATCATTGGAAATTTTTTAAAGCCAAAAATACATTTAATAACCTTTATCTACTGAACAACACCCTAATCCACTCTAACCACACTCAGAACATCTACAGAAGGCTACAATTGGGCAAAGTCACCTAACACTGATTTATTTGCTAATTAAGTGTTGATGATCTCATGTAATTTATTGAATACTGAAAGTGAATATCAGAATGGTTGTATGGGCACGCTTTAACACCACTGTGAAGTAAAAAGCCATGGCAAGTCAGGGACCACCTGCAGCTGCTTTGAAACTTGGCAGAGACTAAGTGAAGTTGGAGAGGTCTCATGCTCATTGGGAATGTCTCAGCATGGCCAGCAACAGGCCCACACTAGATCGTGATTTATTTATTTATTTGTTTGTTTGTTTGTTTGTTTACAGATTATGTTTTAAAGGGCAGCCTGGAGGCAGTAATAGAGTCACCTCTTCAAGGACCTGTGTTTAAATCAATGTCCCATGTAATCATGCTTACTTAAAGAGAGCACAGGAGGTTAGGGATCCCAGAGAGTATGGAGATAAGACAGCCAGCCGTTACTTACATGTACATTTGTCTCAAACTCGGAGGTGATGTGTGAATAGACAGCAAGGGCAGGCAGGGATACCAGGACAGCCCCAATGCAATGGCGAGGTAGCCAGCCAGCGATCCACTCCAACAGGCGCTGTGTGCATGCCATGACATCCTCCAGGAAGAACACCATCCTGGGCAGGGATAGAAGGAGAGCAGGGGTACAGAGGCCCAGTGGTTAGCCTGCCAGGATCAATAGCAGTGGGGTCCAGTGCTGCCCTTGACTATCCTATGCTGCTGCCGCTACCTGAGGGGCAGGAGTGTAAGCAGGAAGCAGAGCTCCTCCATCCCACATCTGGTAAAAGGCATATGAACTGGACTTACTCAGCTCATCACATGTGATGTTAAGATCACCTGTTGCATTCTGATAAAATGTGCTTGGCAAATGCCAAGCTTACACCTCTGTAAGTCCAAGGGAGCATGGAAGAATAGTATCAGGCCTTAAGTAAAGTCTCTTGTGGGGCCACCACTTATAGTCAGTCACCTGTTCACAACTGCTCTAGGTGGAGGTCTACAATGGAGCCATTCTGGAGGTACTGTGTGGGGCTTTCTTGGTTGTCCTGATGTGGAAGGGTGCTACAGGTGTCTAGTGGACAGGAACCAGGGATGGACACTCCCTGCCAGGCCTGGGCATGAGCCACACAGTGAAGGTCTACCTTGCATCCCACACAACTGCCACTCATGCCCTGGATAACCATGGAGGTAAAAAGCCTGCCCAGGGCTGGATTGTAGTTCATGTACAAATAGGCAGTTTTGGGTGTTGGTAGCACACAAATCTTCCAGAATTTCAGCTTCTCTGCAAACTAAGTAAAAATTGTCCTTTGTTTTACTTGGGACATCAGGACTCATTCAGTATTTCAGAAAGTGACATCACTGATTGAACCCAGATCGTGGTACATGGCCGCTAACCCCACACCAATAGGGCCTGCATTTCTGACTGCCACACTGTCATGGGCATGAAAACAGCAGTTTTGCTGTTTTCCAGGTAACAGTGCTCTGGTATGTACAAGATAAAGCACTGTGCATTTTACCTTAAATGATTTTTCTTTCCATTTCTCCCTCATATCACAGTGATGGTATTTTACTGACTCCTTCTGCAATTGTGTGTCTGGCTGAGCTACATCTCAGGAGGGTGATGCTGATGCAGTACTACAATACTTTTCATATAGAGGGGGAGCTGAGTATGTGATGAGGGGTGTTCCTTAGCTGAGGGAGGGGGATCCTGGGTAGGGGCAGAACCAGCAAATAGGAGGTGAAGCAGAGGCTGCTGGGGGTCCTCTTGGATTGGAAACTCACACGTGGTTTGGGGAGACCAAACCTTCTCTCAAGGCAGTGGCTGGGGAGCAGGGACAGCCCCACTACCTATGCCTTCAGGAAGGCAGGAGCTGCTGCTCTGATTCAGCAGCCTAGGAGCCTCTCGCCCAGAATACCTGCACAGCACATCAACAGCTTCGACTGAGCTCAACCATGACTGGGAACTATTGACTCTCAACCATTTCTCATATGGACACAAGCAGTCTAGCACTTTTAGTATCTTGGAGAAGTCTGGCGTCTTGATATTTAAAGGATAACAGAGCCCTTGGAATATCTCCAAGAACAACCACAGATTTTCTTACAGGCAGGGTACAGAGGCCCTGTGAGGGGGGAAGAGGGAATGGAGTCCCTAGCCAGCAGAAAGGGCATTGAGGGCTCTTCACAATTGTCCTCGAGATCACAGAGTTCTGAGGATGAGACCAGATGGTCTCATAATTTTCCCTGGGGCTGAAGCGGAGGAAGAAGACCTGAAATTGAGATGTGGGAAGCCTTCTGGGAGAGTTAGCAACATCCCATGCCAGTCACTGAGGAAGCTGCAGAACTGTCTTCCTTGGGATGCTGACATATTCCACGTAAGGGTGTAGTTCGTTTTTATCTAGGATTCTAAATAAGGCCTGCAGAGGGGCCAGTGAAAATCTGTTAAGGGTCCAACCTCCCTGAGGCTTTGACAATTGCTGGCAGGCTGAACTCAATCACCACAATGCTCAGGTAGGAGTGGAGTGGCCACCACACTCACCAGACATGGGTGGAGAGTGCAGGTGTGGACAGGCCAGCCATCACCTGCAGCCTTATGTATGTCTGAGTCCAGATTCATCTACATTCTTTGGAACTGGGTCCAAAGGAATAGGGAACAATGGTTAAAGGGGTAAAAATAAAAAAAATATGGTGACAATGCTAGCTTCAGGAAGACCAAGAGTTTCTGTATTAGACAGAAACCTGGAGGGTGCTGAGAGGATGGGGGAGTGATGGAGTTTCTTCTTGGGGTTAGGGAAATGTCCTAAAATTATAACTGTGGTGATGTTTGTACAGCTCTACAAATTTACTAAAAATCGCTGAATTCTACACTTGAATGAGTTTATTGTATATGAATTACCATAATAAAGCTGATTTTTAAAAAAGAGGCAGGACCAAATAAGGTGCCAAAGGTTATCTTGGTTTGGGTTCTGCAGAAGCAGACCTTGGGCAAGATGTGTGAGCAGCTTCTTTGGGAGTGTCTCCAGGTCCAGGTCGGGCATTCGGGTTGAGGTGGAGAAGGGAAGCAGTTAGGAACAGTCACTTCTGTGGGCAATGTACTTGATCCTGGTAGGGAATTCAGGGGACCATGGAGGCACACCTTTAGTTCCATCTCAGTCCAGGGAGGAGGACGTGGCCTCTGCAGCTGTTCTCAGCTTTGGCAAAGCTGGAAGGGCCTTTGGGATGGTGGGTGAGGAAGCCAGGATGCAGATCAGCCTGTCTATGCTAAAGTGGAGAAATCAGCATTTGGAAACCTCAGGATGATATCTAGCTAATTTTTTCTGCACTGAGATGTTGGTTAAGAGTAATAGAAACTAATGGTAAAGGCCTTTCTTCCCATTTCTGTTTTACCTTTAGCTCCTGGGGCAATAACCAGAGAATTTTGGTATGCTCAAAGGCTCTCCTCTTGAGCATGGTAGGACTGGGTGAGGTGGCTGTAGTGCAAGGACCCACTGCCATGTTTCCCAGGAGGCAGGTACGCAGGGACAGTCACTTGTTGGCTACACAGATCCTTTATCTTTTTGTCTTATTTATTTATTTATTTATTTAGGTACTGGGGATCAAACTCAGGTCATTGCACTTGTGAGGCAGATGGAGGAACCACTGAGCTAAATCCCCGGCCCTTTTTGTCATATTTAAATGGCCTGTCTTTTTTATTACTGAGCTGTATGAATTCTTTGTACACTCTAGGTATTAAATCCTTGCCATGGATGTGACCTGCAAATATTCCCTCCTGTTCTGGCTCTCTTACTTTCTTTTTTTTTTTTTTTGGTACTGGGGATCCAATTCGGGTCCTTCTGCTTTCGAGGCAGGCGGCACTCTTACTTTCTTGATGGTGCTTACAAAGTCCAATTTGTGGGATTTTGATAATTTTGATAAAGTGAATTTATCTAGTTTTTTTCTTTGCTGCTTGTCTTTTTGTGTCTTATTCAAGAGTCTGTAGGTTGGCTTATATGAAACGGGTTATCTGTTCATCTACTGCACCTGTCATTTGCTGCCCATGCACTTTTCTTTTCTTCTGTCCTTTCTCATTTCCTTTCTTCCCACTTCTCTTAATCTCTGACATAGGAGATTGAGGAAGAGCTGGTAGCAGCCTCGCTTGCAGAAGGCACTGACCCTCTCGAGTAAGTGGGTTCCCACCTGCAGTGAAAGCCAGTGTCTGCAAGGAGGATGCTGTGAAGTGGGGTGGGGGTGGGAAATGAAGGCCTGTCCCCAGAGATAAGCCTGGAGGGACAGCTGACTTGAGACTCTCAGCCTGCTGTGCTGCAGCCAGCCTATTCTGCCATAAACCATGGGGCCAGAAGAGGGAGCTAAAGGCTAAACACTAGAGAGCTGCCCACAGGCAGGAGCCTCACCTGATGGACACCACAAGGGACAGTACTTCCAGCAGCAAGGCTGCACCGAAGATGGCCAGGGCAGCTGGTGGGGGAGGCATGGCAGTGGCTCCATACTTCAGGAAGCAGGTGACAGAGAGAATCAGGAATACTGTTGTGGACAGCAACACATCCAGGAGGGAGCTGAAGGTGGCACTGGCAAAAGTTTTCACAGGAGAATTCTTTATGACCTGTGTGAAGCAGGAGTGGACTAGGATGAATTAACACCACTACAAATGGTGATGGAGTACAATTCAGAGGGGAAAAAAATCGTAATATTTACTGAGTGCTTGCTTACTCCAGACCTGGTTCAGGGCAGCAGGTGACTTAGGGGCAATTTTCTTGCTATTTCCCCTTTAGTAATAAGAAAATAAAGGCACACAGAGGTTAAGAAACATTTCCAGGCTGGGTATGGTGGTGTACACCTGTGATCCCAGTACTCTGGGAGGTTGAGGCAGGAAGAACACAAGTTCAAGCCCAGCCTGGGCAACTAAGCAAGACCTAGTCTCAAAATAAAAAGTAAAAGTAAAAAAGGGCTAGGGATATATCTCAGTGTGAAGACCCTGGGTTCAGTCTCCAGTACTGAAAAAACACAAAAGCAAAAACACACAGCAACTTGCCCAGGGTTACACAGCAATTGATTACAAGCCAGTACACCCTCAGTCACATTATGTAATGAGCCTAAAACATGATTTACTGCCTGGCAGAGTGAAGTAGTCCACATCTGTAACAGTAGTTGGTTGGAAGCAAGATGCTAAAAGCTTCCACCAATGGCTGGGCCCTAGGTTTAGGGGCTGTGAAACCTGGCTTCATAACAGAAGACTGGTGGGGATTTAACATGTTCATGATGGGCCTGTAATTTATCTGTCTCACTGCTGGGTGGCTCTGAACCACTGGTGGTACATGCATGACTGGGCAGCATGGGACAGTCCCATCAGATAGTACAAGCCTCCCGATGGGATAGTCATGCACATACCCCTGGTGGTTCAAGCCAGCAGGAATGTGTTAAACAGCAGTAGAGAAAAGCTCCTGCACGTACAATACGAGCACACAACTGTGAGCAAGAGCCTTCAGTTTGGAGCCTGATCTGGCCCGGCTGTGTGGGGCACAGGCAGACATGAAACAACATTCATGGGAAGTTCACAGCCTGACAGCAGGAAGGGATGCGAACGGGAAATGGATGATGGTACATGAAGTATAATAAAGAGATATTCATGAACTGTTGAATTAAGGATGAAGGAAATAGTAATGATGATAATGTGTACCAAAAAAAGACTATTTTCAGGCTCTTTATGGACTCTTTAGAGGCATGATCTCAACCAGTACTCATAACAATCCACCAAGAAGGAAAAACTACTGATCTCGTGTGTAGATGGGGAGGCCAAGGGTAGGTGGCTACCTCAAGGTCATACAACAAAGAGCCAGGCTGACAAGCTGATTCCCAAGTGCACCTGTGACTTCTTGGGGCCTCACAGAATGACAACACAGGACCTAAAGGCAGGGACTGTTGTGGGAAGAAAGTGAGCAGTAAACCACTGAAGTTTCTTTCCATTCAGTGCTGCAATCTTCTGACAATTCCAAGCAGGATGCAGGCTGGTGGGGCTGGAGTGCATAGAAAGGAAAGGTCCTATAACTTGGTTTGGTGCATGTTCTGTTCAGGACAAACTGGCTCTGGCTCCACAGCCCAGGTCCCCTGAGCTGGGGAGAAGAGGCCTGAGAAGGAGAAGGAAGCACTTGCACATGAGGGTTGAAGTTGCAGGTCAGCTCTGATGCCAGGCCTGGACCTGCCAGAGCAACCCGGGGTGGAGCTGGGTTCCAAGGAACTCAGAGCTCTGCTGGTATCCATACACCCGGTCCTGATTTCCCTCTGGAGGGCTGAGAATCTTGGGGGTAAGGCTGCCAGTGCTGACTCCCCTCTGTATAAGTACATATACATCTTTGACTTCTTTAAGGCTTCATCTAATGCTCTGGGGAACAGCCAGGATTCATTGCAGCTGGCCAATATTGGGCAGAAGGGCCCAGGGCCTTCTTCAAGTTTACAGGAGGGCAGCCACAGTATGGGGGCACCCTCATTCTCAGTCGAATGCCAAGGTTTCCCTACCTCCCCTACTCGTGCCCCTACTCAAGCAGGGAGGACACAGGTGTAAAGGTTCTTGGTTTAGGCATTCTGATTAACACTGAAGAGACTTCTGTTGCAGGAGCTGATGTCATAAGTCTGACACATGTAACCAAAGAAGACTCCTGGCACCACTGGAATCCCAGGAGGGTACCTAGCACCAGTGAATGCCTCCTCAGACTCTGAGCTCTCTGATCCCTACCATCTCCTTTGCCATCTCTTATGGTTGCTCTGCTGCTTTGGGATCATGTTTCCTAGATATCCCCACCTAGACCTGTTCTTTTCCCTCCATGTGTCCTTGCTCTGGACTTCTGTACTGAATGGATAGAGGAACCCAGGGCTAGCTCTATCCATGCTTGCATCTCCACAAACACTGCATGTCTGTCTGCCCATGTCTAGCTAGGAACATATTTGCCCAGCATTTTTCTCTCCCCATGGGATTTACACTTGGAGACGACATCATCCTAACTGTAAGGGATGGGTGGCTGATCTATGGCCCCTTACTGTCTACATCCAGTTAGGCTGCTAACCTGTCATCAGGGTATAGGCCTTGTAGGATGGCTACCTAGGCAGGCTCACAGCATGGCTCCACCACTACCTACTGTGACATCTTTCGCTCATCACCCAATGTGCCCATGCCTTGGTCTCTTTTCTGAAAATAGGGTACCTGCACTTCATGGTTGGTGGCAATGGTTACATGAGAAACACCAGTGTGGAGCACTGTGTACAGTGAGCATCCAAATGTGGGGTAAACCTGGAAGCTACTTGCTCCTATATCTCTCCTCCTTTCCATCTGTCCCTGTCTTGGGACACACCTTGGATTTGGCCTGTGCTCAGTAACAGCCTCCCACCTGTCTTGACTACTCTGCCACCTTCCACACTCAGCTGTGAAATCTCTATAAAACACCATCTGATGGAGCCATATCCTATTCCAATGTTCCCTCTAACCCTGGCATTATGTCTGCTGCATGGACAGCTATCATCTGGTCCCTGGTGTACTCCTCCTGCCCTACCCCCAGAGGAACCTACACTTCCCTGGATGCACTTGGCTCTTCCATATCTCCCAGGTTTGGAGGCCTGGTCCCTCCCTGTGGAACATTCCTCTCCCCCTAGTCCTCCCACTGAAGTGACTCAGGAGTTATCTCCTCTGAGCCCTCCATCTGGGGCTGCTACCTTACTATCTGCTCACAGACTAGTACTGGACTTTGGCTCTGGGTTATTATTTCTAATTCCTGTTCCCCTGTCAGATGTGCCTTCCCTTCTATATCCCAGTATTGAGAACCATCCCAAGCAGAGTGGATGCTCAACATACATCTGGTGACTGGAGGAAAGATGATAAATATACATTTAGGGTCTCCATAGCACAGCAAACATTGAAGTCATTGAGAAACATTGAAGTCAAAGAGGCTGGAATCCAACCTTACCTATGAGATGTGAGCTAACTGCTTAGGTTTTCTTAGCTTTGGCCTTCTCCTTGGGAAAGCTTCCTTAAAGGGTTGTTGTGAGTGGGCTGGGCACAGTGGTGCACACCTATAATCCCAGCACTCAGGAGGCCAAGGGAGGAGGATTGCTGTGAGTTCCAGGCCAGCCTGGGCTATATAGTGAGTTCAAGGACAGCCTGAACTGCACAGTGAGACCCTGTCTCAAAAAAGTGTGTGGGGGGGGGCTTGTTGTGAGCCTTGAATAAGATCATGTTTTGGCTCACAGGCCAACTAGGCAACTCATCAGTTCACTACAGGACTTGTGCCTGGGCTGTTAACATATTCACTGTCCCGTGGAGGCTGACAGAAGGAGGCACCTCCAACCCTGCAAGACACAAACCAGCTCTATCTGGTTCACCATGTTCTTTTCAGAGTCTGGTCTGGTACCTGGACATACAAACATAAAGATCTGCAGAATGGGTACCTGGAAGAATGAAAAACCCTTTTGCCCCTGGGTTGGGGAGTGCCAAAGTGCCCTTTTTTGTTTTTGGTACCGGGGATCAAACTCAGGACCTTGCGCTTGCAAGGCAGGTGGAGGCATCACTGAGCTAAATCCCCAGCCCCAAGTACACTTTTGACTCTGGAACTCAGGGACAGAATGTAGGGATCTACTGCTTAGAACTCCAGCCAGGCTCCAGGTTCTTCTAATATATGCCGTTTAAGGACCCCATTGAGGATGTCAAGGATACAGGGCTACAGGGAGAGTAGTGCCACTTAAAAACCCAAAACAGGTATCATCAGGGAACACTTCCAGGGCCAGGACAGCCACAGGGGCCTGGAGACACCAGCTGCACAAGCAAAGATAAATTCACATACAGTTGCAACTTAGGGCTTATGGATTACATTAGCCTTCATTTCTCTGTCACTTGCTAAAACACAGAGTGAACAGGAACTACCCATGAGAACAATGGATTTCTGTAGTGAAATCAAAGAACTCACCTCTTCCTGATAGCTGGTCCTATAGGATCGCTCCAGCTCCTGATCCAGGAAGTTCAGACTGAACTGATTAATGGGTGGCTTGAAAAAATAATCTTTCATGAGGCTAGAAGATAGAAAAATGTAAACAATCAATGTAATCTTTGTATCAGAAGATCACAATCAGCTATCAACCTCGCTCATTGAGTGCATCATGAAAGCTGTGTCTGAAAGTCTCTGTGACAGGTGCTGCTTTGCTGCTCCTTTTAAAAACATATCTCTGCAGGGCCAGGGATTTAGCTCAGTGGTTCTGGCACCTGCCTCGCAAGCACAGGACCCAAGTTCAATGCCCGGTACCAAAAAAAAATCTCTGCAAAGTCCTTTGTGTTTCTAGGCATAATGACATTTTATGTTCTACCTCCATTAAAGAATGACCATTTCACCATGATCGTAGCACACATCACTAGAACCTTGTTTTCAAAAGCATATTCCTAATGTCCAAGATTGGAAGACAAGAAATGCAGCTACTTTGTCCTGTGAAACAATCTTTTTTGAAGATCCCTGTACTATGAGCACTTATAATGATTTGGAGGCTTCAAATGAAAACATGATTCAGAACCAGCTGTCCTGTCATCCACAGCACTGACAGTAATTACCACCATAAAAACTAACAGGTTGTTAACACAAAATGATGTTTATAGTTAGTGTAATTCTGGTGCTGCTGTCACATATGCAGATGTGTGTGAAACCTGAAAAATGATAATGCTCAATGATTTTAATAGCAGAGATCAAATCTGCTTTACGTGACTCATTTTTTTATGAATTGCTAGCAAATAGTAGTATCCTTTTTATACTGGAGAAAATTACTATAAATTTAAAGGAATGTTAATATGATTTCAGAAGGCAAATACAGATGTGGGGAGCAGTCTCCCTCCCTTGCTAGCTATTAGCATGAAATCAGACACAGGATGTAAGTAAGTGCCTATCATGTGCCTGACACACAATAGGGCTCCCAATAGGTAACTTCCTTTCTTTGCTACAGAGTGGACTCTCTTTTCTGTGACAAGTGTTCAATAACCTACAACATTCTCAGGTTCAAAAGAAAGAAAATTCTGTTCCCTAAAGTTGACTCTGTCTCTTCTCTTCCACTCAGGAAGTATACAGACAAAAGAGAAATCAACAAAGCAGCTGTAAGGAAGATGTGTGATAGCCATGTTTTAGCAGTCAAATGGCAAAACCAACTCTTCTAAAAGCTATGCTACTCCTTTTAAATCAATATTGAGAGGTTCAACTACTGAGAATGGAATATAACTCCTTTTGGACCAATCTTCTCACAGATAACAATGATAAATTCTGTGAAAAATATAAAAAATAACTGCTGGACAGCACAGGAAAGTGACAAGGGCAGGCAGAGGAGAGTCACCCTTTAGAAAGGGAAAGTACCAGGTAAATTTCCCATTTTTCACTTTAATTTTATTTTTTCCCTGAAGACAGACATTAGTCAGCACCATATGCAGGTAGCTAAAACTCAAATGGAATAGCCATACCCCTATTGGGCCTAATGGAATAGCCATAGCCCTACTGGTTTAAAAATCCAGAGAGATAAAACCCAGAAGGAAGAGAACTAGGGAAGTGGAACCCAAAATTCTGCATATAAACTATTCAAATCTCTAGCTGACCCCTGACATACAGGTATATGGCAAGCTCCAAGAAGCCTAGTTAAGGCTAAAAGTATGAGAGATAAAAGTTTGGAGGTTGAATTCACTTAACCTAAATCTCTGCTGAAACAAAACAAACTTATATTCTTTGGAAGGATATAACAAAATTCAGACTTTCTAAGCACCATACACAATGTCCACAACACAATCCAAAATTTCTGGTCATACAAAGAAATAGGAAAAAATGATCATACTCAATAGAAAAGCAATCAGTGGAGACTAACTCAAGATTACTGAGCACTGGGGTTTATAATGTATGTAGATATAATACATGTGATAACTATAGCATAGGGAATGAGAAGAGAGTAATGCATCTGTATGGATTGCACTTTTTTCATTTAGAATGAAGTGATATAATATTAATTCTAAGATGATTATATAAAATTTAAGGCTGTATATCTGTAACTCCTAGAAAACAACTCAACTATGGTCTGAGGGTATTTCTGCATTGAGCTACATCCCCAGACCATAGTTAGAGATGTTAATATCTTTCTCTCAACAACTGATTTAATAGAAAATACCATACTACCAGCCATCTGGACTTAACTGATATTGAGTTTTTAATGTCCCACAAATACAGAATATACCTTCTTTTCAAGTGCATATGAAATGTTCACCAAGAAAGACCATGTTGAGGGACAGGGATTTGGTTCAGTGGTGCCACCGCCTGCCTTGCAAGCACAAGGTCCTGAGTTTGATGCCCGGTACCAAAAAAAAAAAAAAGACAGACCATGTTGAGGGCATAAAATAAGTCCTAATTAATGTAAAAGGACTGAAGTTATACAGTATGTCCTTGGACTACAACATTAAATTAGACATTAACAGCTAACATATCTAAAAGCCATTCGTCACCAAAAGCGGCCAGGGCTGTTGGAGAAAAAGCTAATCCCTGAGCTGGAGCAGGAAAGGTAAAAAACATGCTTGGAACATCCTGTTATGCTAGAAAGTAAGAGAATGCCCCAATCAAATGAAGGGATCATGTAAAAAGCACACAGGAGCCAGTACAAAGTGGGTGGTCACTGGCCAGACTCAAGCATCCAAATATAATAAGCATAAGGATAAATTATGACCCATGAAATAAAATGAAAGTGCATGAGTTTGGGCTAATAATATGTTGAAAAATAGATAAAATAGCAAACAGGGAGGACTCTTCTTTGCAGCAGATGCTGATCATCAAATGATAAATGTGCTAGGAGTGCTGGAGTTGGAAATCATTTTCAACCATCATAGTAAGGACTGTTTCAGGCAAGATTCATCAATAGATACTGAATCTAAAAAAAGTTGATATAGAATAGGATAATTATAAGGTGTTAAAGTATTTCCTGACAGGTTGCTTATTAGTCATAAGAAGAAAATAATGGCTATAGACTGGAGAAACTGGCAACACCTGGTTAATCAAAATGAATGTCACTAGTGAGAAACAAATGGACACTGCATGCCTCTGGACACAACATCCTGAGAAGGACATGGCATCACTTCTGTGACATCTAGCCAGAGATACAGAGCCTGACAATCACAAGGAAACATCACACAAATCCAACTTCAAGAATATTCTGTAACAGGATTGAGCTGTAATTTAAAAAAATGTCAATATAATGAACAACAAAATATGACTGAGGAACTGTCTATAATTTAAAAAGATTAAAGAGGACTGACAATAAAATAGTACATGTGATCCTGAACTAGATCCTGGACAAGAGGGAAAATGTGCTGCCAAAGATACACTGGATCATTTGACAAAACTGGAATAGATTAGATAGAATATCACTTCAATGTTGAGCTTTATGAGTCTGATAACTAAGATTATGTGAGACAACATCATTGTTTTTAAGAAATACAGTACAAAGCATTAAAGACTATGATGTATCCAATGCACTGTCAAATGGCTGAGAAAATTAATTTCATAGAGAGAAGAGAGGAAGACAGAGGAAGAGGACAAAATCAAACAAAATGTTAAAAGTTGGTGAACCAAGGGGAATAAAGGAATTCTATATAGTATTTGTGTAACTTTTTAGGTTTTAAATTACTTCAAAATAAAATAAAGTAACATACTGACAACAGAAAATAAATGCATGGATAAGGCAATTCAGAAAAAGGCAGTTTCTCCTGCAAACCTCTGTAACCTCTGCAGATGGCCCAGTCTTACCTGTCTTCTTTGATAACATCCACAAAATGGGCATCCGTTTTCTCACGGATGTTCTTGAACCTCAGTGGGAGGAGGGCTGATTGGTCCAAGCTCACACCTGCCCACCTTCCCTTCTCCTGAAGGATCTCGCACAGGGAGGTCTGACTGTTGGTGAGCTTTTCCTCTTGGGGAGGGCTCAGAAGTCCATTCTGAGCTTTGGAATTAGGTCCTCCAGAAGCCTGCCTCGAGACAAAGAGGGAGCAAGCCCAGGAAGTGAGTGGTGGCATGGAGCACGTGCTTATTCCCACCTGATCCCTCTGCCACCCTGGAGCCCTGCACCAAGTGTTGGATGCCCTGACATATCAAAAGGGCTCTACCTGTGTCTCCTCACACCCAATCCTCAACCTCTCCACCAACCTGCTTCCCTACTACCCTGCTCTGTCAAAGGACATCTCCAGGTGTTCAGGCAGCCAGGAGGTAAGATCATAAGGAGAGCCGTACAGTGGAGGAGAAAGCGGTTGGTCAAGGAGTTTGCTTACACAGAATTGGGGCTCCAGGGGTCTGTGGGGAAGGTCTGGAGGACCTCCTGGGAAGTGCAATGATGGGCCAGGGAAAGGAAACCCAGGGCTACTGGCCAGTGGCTTAAGAGAAGGTAGACAAATAGGGGCCTATGTTTTGGGAACCTCTGATCTGCATTTACAAGTCCTTTGGCAGATGCAGGAGGGTGGAGAGCTACAGAGCCTGGGCCTCACTGGGGAAGGCAGTCTTTAGAAACTCTCCTGAAGCTCTCCAATCCAGACCTGGCCTGGTCTCCAAGCCCCATTTCTCCAGCAGCCTTCCTGCTGCTTGCTCTGCCTCCAAACTTCTCTCCAGGCATGCTTCTTATCTGGAAGAGGCCTCTTCTCTTTGAACATCTGTACTCTACCATGTGTTGTGTCTGGCTTCCAGTCCATAAATCCTCTAGCCTCTGTAACTCATGCATTTTAAAATTCTTACTGCTTCTGAAGGGAGTCCCACCCAGTTCCATAGGGCATTATTCTATTTCACAGGGGTTAGCTCTGACTTTCCAGCCTTTTTTTTTTTAATGGGACAGGACAGGGCTTCATGCATGCTAAGTACATGCTTTGTCACTGAGCTATACCCCTAATGCCTCCACTGCATTCTTTATTGGTTTATTCAAAATCCAATGACTAGGGGGTATAGAGTGCTATTACCTAAGAGGAGTTATTCCCAGAACTAAGAAGTTGATGAGACAGGAATGTCACCTTAGGTGGATGCGCCAGGAGAGGAACTGACAGGAACAACAGCCATGAGCTTGTTACCTTGGTGCTGGTCTTAGACTCGTCTTGACAGCCGTTTTGCACAGCTCCTCCTTCTGCACCAGCTTCTGACTTGGGAGCAAATGTAATTCCACATGAAGGGCAGGTCTACGAGAAACACACAGGCCATAGGAACATACCCAGAAAACATGACCATGATATGCAACTCACACAAGTCCATTGTTGCAATGTGCTGTCACATAGGATGGCTGTGACCAAATGGAAGGCTTACTGAACCACTCAAGAAGGCGCTAAAAATAAATCTGGCAGGGCAAAAAATGTTAACACAAAAATCTGTACATGAGCACACAGCAGCAGTGTTCACAACAGCCAGAGTGAAGACTCAACTTCCATCAACTGAAGAGTGCATCAACAAACTGTGATCTAGTCATATAAGGGGATATTATTCAACTATAAAAAGGAATGAAGCACAGACACATGCTACAACATGGATGAACCTTGAAAACATGACTGTTGAAAATACTCAGACACAAAAGACCACATAAGGTATGATTCTATCTATGTGAAATGACTGAAAAAGGCAGTTCTATAGAGACAGAGAGCAGATTAAACAGTTGCCAGGTATAAGGGGGAGAGAGGTACAGAAAACGACTGCTAATAAATATGTAATGTGCTATGATCTGTATTTTTGTGTGCCCTGTATCTCCACCGCAGTTCATATGCTAATCCTAATCCTCAAAGTGATGGTATTAGGAGATTAGAGCATGAGGACCAAACCCTCATGAATGGATTACTGCCCCTACTAAAGAGATCCACAGAATTCCCTTGTCACCTCCACCCTGTAAGAAGGCATCCTATGAACCATGGTCTTCACTAGATATCACATCTCCTGATTTTTTTTTCTTTTTTTTTTGGTACCAGGGATCCAACTCGGGACCTTGCACTTGCGTGGCAGGCAGCGGCACGACTGAGCTAAATCCCTGGCCCAAATCTCCTGATATCTTTATATTGGACTTCCAGCTCCCATAACTGTAAGAAACAATTTCTCACTGTTTACAAATCATTCAGTTTATGTTTTTTACTACCCCAACCCCAAGTTCTGGGGATTAAATCCAGGGGTGCTCTACCACTTAGCCTTTTTATTTTTATTTTATTAATTTATTTTAAAATTCTGAGATAGGGTCTCCCTAAATTTTCCAGGATGGCTTTGAAGTCACAATTCTCCTGCCTCAGCCTCCTGAGTAGCTATGATTATAGGTATGTACCACCATGGCCAGTCAGTTTATGGTTATTTTGTTATACTAGCTAAATGGATTAAGATGGGCTTTCTTTTAGGGATGAGGAAAATGTTCTAAAGTTAACTGTTGTGATGGTGATGTCCTTAATAAAATTATCATTATTAATGTGATATAGCAGCCTAGGAACTGTGAGACAGCAACTAATAGTTTCCAACAAAGAGGACAAACTGCAGCAGAAGAAACAATTTCTTTGCAGTAAGAACCCTTGAACATTGGAATAAATTATCTGAGGGTGGAATATGATTTTGGAAATTTAAAATATATATCACTTACTGCCTAAATACAGAGATATAGCCCAGGTTACATCCCAAGTTAGATCATAGTCTTATGCTTCAGTAAGTAAAAGAATAAAGATTCTGAAGAGTTGTGTAGTTTGGGAATCTGAAATAATGTGGTTTGAACATTTATTTTCATTTAAATAATAGAAATATACATGCCAAAGTAGCTATCAAAATTGTTAACTAGTACATCTGAGCAGGTAATACCTCCTAGATAAAATCTGCTCATAGCTCTTTTTTTTTTTTTTTTTTTGGTACCAGGGATTGAACTCAGGTCCTTGTGCTTGCGGGGCAGGCGGCGGAACCACTGAGCTAAATCCCCGGCCCTTCTCATAGCTCTTTAAAAACTGACATTAACAGCTAAAATGTTCTAGTTATCAATAATCTAATTTATAATTATACAATAAAATTATTTAAAGCATCTTGTGGTACTGATTGAATTAAACTTTAAAACATTTTGCCAATGGCCACTGATATTGTCAAACCACACTCACACACACACACAATACCAATTACACAAGAGTGACGTGCAAGCTGCCAACGCACGTGTGAAGTAAATGTGCCTAAAAGACACATGTAACAAGACCCAAAGGGAGCTCTCTGGAGGAAAGCAGTGGGGGTTGAGTGCCGTGGCCTTGGAGTTGAGGGCAGTGGCTGGCTTGCTCCTCCAGGGGGCACACTGAACATTTCAGGGACCGTTGTTGGTACACTAGGGAAGGGAAAAACACAGCCTGGTGTATAGGGCAGGTTGACATTATGGTTTGAGACACTAAGTCAAATCCTTATGATCCAGGAACTTCTACCAATCTGGAAAAGTCGGAGTAAAACAGTAAGAAGCTATTTATTTCTCTGACCATTTTGAAACACTGAGACTAGAGAAGCAGTATAACCCAGTAATTAAAGGCACTGGCTTTGGAATCACACTGTCGTGGACTAAATCTTGGTTTTATCACCCAGTAGGTATGGGATCTGAGTTTCAGTTCCCTCTTTTGTAAAATGGGGTTACCTCTACCTTAAGGAATTATCGTAAGGGCAAAATGAGAAAACACATGTAAAGCATGTCTGAAGTTACATTTTAAAGCAGCTTCATTTTTCGTACTAGCTCTATTGACTTCATAGAAGGCTGAATTGAGAAGGATCATGAGGCCACATCCTCGCTCTGTAAGGAGAACTGATCCATGAGTGATAACTGTCACGGGTAAAGGGGTGGCTGAGACTCTAGCCGGGCTGCCACTGGCAGAGGCCTGAATCTTGCGGCAGATCGCTTCATTGTACTTTTAAAACATGTCTCTCTCTTCCTAAACTACTTTTCTTTGGGGCAGAGGAGGGGAGGGTCTTGATTAAAGCTTTAAATGAAATGAAACAAAAAAATTGCAAGGAAATTCATATTCCTGATGGAGACATTCCCCACCTCACATTTCCTTCTGGTCTGTAGTGAGAGGTCCCTTCTTCCATTTGCCATATAGTAGTGGGTGGGTTTGTTTCCCTCTCCACACGCTCCACAGCAATTTTCACTTAACTATTTCCCAGCTTAATTTTAATCTGGTTAAGACATTTTACAACCTGATTTTTGCCAAGCAAGTGAAACCTTCCCAACCTATGAAATGTCCATCTCTCCCCCCAGCTATAGTCATCTCCACCTCTGCTGAGAATCCGCCACTGGCAAGAGCATGTCTGACTCCAGAGAACTACATGGGGGCATCTCACCACCTTGGAAGGCAAGAGAGCAACACTAGCAGGCACACAGATAAAAATCACTGACGTAATGATTGCAACTGCTATGATTTAGAAACATCTATGTGCTAAAGATACAGAGCAACAGGTTTGCAGCCTTGTGTATATGATCGCAGTTAATCTTCATAACTGTGAGGCAGAAATGAGCCTTCTGAAGACACAAGAGCTGTGAACACAGGGGTTGGGCTGTAGGGCTCCCAGCCCCAGGCCACCATGGGGCATCGCTTTAACCTCCTTTCTTGGCACAAGGAGGGCCCAGGAATAACCATGGCACTTTGATTTCCTGGACTTTGATTCCCTGAAATGACCTATGCTGCTAGACTGTCCTCTTGGTTCTTTTAAGTGGCTCTGCTGGCATACTGACATTAAGGGAAGCTTCTAAGGTTCCCCAAACAGCATACTCTACCAGCCAAGGAATTTGCTGGCCATTGCCAGGGTAACCCGAGATTCTTTGGAGAATACCCAAAAGTGCACTCTGCATTTTTCCAGACTATCTGTGCTCCCTCCTCTGTGGAGGGAAGATCATAACTATCTCTGTAATACATGCAGGCACAGTTTCATTTCTTTTTAACACATTTCAATACATATACCATATATTCTGTTCAGAACATATGGACAGAGCTATAAAATAAGATATTTTTTCCTCAAGACTATTTCTCATTGCAAGATAAGTGATTTCAAAGTCAACAGCTGTCCCTTTTCATAAATGTCACAGGAGGGAGAGGGAAAGCCTCTTTGGGGAAGGAAACATCAGCAAAGTCCTGGCTTTGCTTGTTCAATCTGCTAAGCATGACTACCTAGCAAGATGTAGTAGTAGAAGAAGCATCCTTTGATCCCAAACCCAAAGCTCATGTTGAACATGGTGAGCAGCAATAATGGCACTGTTACAATAGTAATAAACAAGTACCATGCACTGAGGGGCTTCTCTAAGCTCTTCATGCATTATCAATTTATTCAGTCCTCACAAGCACCCATGATACAGGCACTATTAGCCCCATTTTACATACAAGAAAACTGAGGCAGAGAAGATAAGAGATATCCCCAGAGTCATACCATTAGAAAATAGTGAAGGAGAGTATAAGCCAAGCACCAAAGCCCTTGACCCTGACCATCAAACACAGGGAACCTCTATCCAGGGTACTGGTGGAACAGAGTACTGTTGTTTAAGCAAATGGATTAGGTGCAAGCATGAACACTTCAAAATAAATGACCTCTGTTAACAAAATATTAGAGGAGTATAGAAGGGGAACATTAGAGGAAAAGAGAAACAGTAATAATCACAGAAAAAAAAAAAGGCACCCCAGAAGCTAACACAACAAAAAGTAGACAACCTATGAGTGCCAGAGGCAAAAGAGCAAACAAACACCAATGAAACTCAGAAACAAGATCTCTAAGCCACACAGTAGGATCGGAGAACCCTAAACTACTCATTCAATTCATTGGCCAAATATGACCACTAGGTTTAATAACTGACGGGTAATGAGGACCCAAGTCAAGAACAGATTAGATCAGATTCAGCAGACTGTCAGGCAAGAAGACTGTTACTGTGCCACAGAAATATTCCATCAGAAAGTCAAAATAAGAAAGTTATTAGGAACTTTTAGAAATTTCACTTATGAGGATGCCAGTTAAGTGATGGTGGACATATCTTTCCATTTCAATTCCTACACATCCTTTCTAAAAATAATTTTTGAGGGCCAGGGATTTAGCTCAGTGGTTCTGCCACCTGCCCCACAAGTGCAAGGACCCGAGTTCGATCCCCGGTACCAAAATAATAATAATAATAATAATAATAATAATAATAATAATTTTTGACTTATAAGAGTGGGAAAGATAG